TGTTGTACATAAACGACATAGTCCACACCAGCACACTGCTAAAATACAACTTATTTGCAGACGATAGTAATCTTTATGCCAGCAACCCAGACCTCCATTCCTTGATGAGAACTATGAACACTGAATTGATTAATGTCAGGACCTGGGTAATACGTAATAAACTGACCTTAAACCTTGAGAAAACCCACTACACGATCTTTCACAGAAGGAAAACTCACTCCCAGACTTGGACCCCCTGTACCTTGGTAATACAGTCCTCAGAGTTATTGTTGATGAGAAACTTAACTGGAGAAACCACATACAAGCCATTCACAGTAAAGTCAATAAACAGTGCGGTATCATGTATCACACTCGACAGTCACTCACTCTCACAGCAATGAAAGAAATCTATCATGATCTTATTTACCAACACCTGATATAATTGTCACACACAATGGGGGGGGGCCTCTGGCTCTTCAAAAACACAATCTCTGGTTACTGCACAAAAGAGAGTTGTACGGACAATGACCTATTTGAAAAAAACAGATCACACAAACGAAAAATTTGCTATATTGAAAATGTTAAAATTCGAGGATATTAACACCTACTGCTGTGCCATCTTTGTTTACAAATCTATCAATCACTTGCTTGACAATAATTATTTCCAGTTCCGGAATAATCAGAGATACAACTTAAGGCACCCAGAGCTACTAAGACCACCCTCCATGAGCTCCTCTCAGTCCCAGACCTCCATAAAATATCACAGTGTGAAGGTGTGGAACAACTTACCCCCACCCATCCGAGCAAAGACTACGCTCCCTTCCTTTAAATCATCTCTTAAAAAATATCTATTGTCGAAGTATTAATATTTCTTGTAACACTTACTATATTTACAGTACCTGCCATTATTGTACCATCAAAACCGTTTTATCGCAAATTATCATGTAAATAGATAAGTAATTACCATTGCAATAAACATAATTGCCAACTACAGGGAAGGCATAATCCTGACAGCTCTGTCCTCTTGTTCAACCTTAATACTGTACAACCCATGATGTACTGCTCCCCCATTATACTTATGTTTTTCAATTCCACTGTAATTTATGTATATATAAAAAAAATAATTAATAAATAAAATAAATAAATAATGAAGTGATAACCGTGGTAACATTATGAGATGTTCTTATTACCACCATGCTATTGTACTATTCCAGATGATACTAAATGTTACATAATACTTCCTGGAGATAAATGTATAGTATATATCAGGTGCCTCAAAGAGAGCTCAGGTTCTCAACTGGCTCAGCCGTGTTAATATGGTTATTATTATCCACTCTGTATCTGTGTTTTTCTGGTTAAATAAACTGTTTCAATTAAATTTAATTCAATATAAGCCGATGGGATAATCTAAGGGTGATGGATTTGAGCTAGGATTATCGTGAGGACCCCGAGGTGGTTTGTGGTGTGCGTCTACCCCCCCTCCCCACCTCATTTACCCCCCTCCCCACCTCATTTACCCCCTCCCCACCTCATTTCCCCCCTCCCCACCTCATTCCCCCCACCGCCTCAACCCCCCCCTCAACCCCCACCGCCTCAACCCCCCACCGCCTCAACCCCCTCCCACTTCATTCCCCCCCACCGACTCAAACCCCCACCGTCTCAAACCCCACCGTCTAAACCCCCACCTCCTCAACCCCCCACCTCAACCCCCACCGGCCCCTACTCCTCACCCCCCACCATATTGTTACTTGAGGTGCCATAACTAACACAGTGTCGTTGTTGTGAATAATTACCGTAAAATGTGTGTAGCATCAAACTGGAGATGATATTTATGATCATTTACCATAAAAGGAGAAGAACCAATAGCCATAATAAAGGGATTTAGGTGTTTAGTCTCCGTCAGGTGGTTAAAGTGAGACATTCTTCCAGACATTCTACTCCCACGGGTGTACCTTAGCCTCCAGCCTCACACATTTGTGGTGACATAACCCTGGGCTGTGACTTAACTCTCCCCTCCTTCCGTCAGGCTGCTCACCACTTCTCCCATGACCTTCACTATACTTATTACCTAGTTTAAGTCCTTGTTAACCTGGTCAGCCTCGTCCAACACCTGTTTTTGATGTTAGAGCTGCTTCGTCATCCCCGTTACCGCCGACAACATTGGGAAACTATACTGTTCTATATCCTTGTCTTGTTCCTCTACATCTGTCCCTTATAGAAGAACGGATACAGTCTATCTCTCAGTATGTCTCCTCATTAGTCTTTCTTTTCGTCCTCTGATAATATCTCTCTCAGCATCTCACTTCAGTCTTTCTCAGCATCCTATCCCTCAGTCTCTCTTATCTCACTTCTCTTTTTTTCTCAGTACTTTACCTCTATCACTCTCAGCACCTCACCTCTATCACTCTCAGCACCTCACTCCTATGTCTCACAGCACCTCACTCCTATGTCTCACAGCCTGCCTCCTACACTCTATAACCTATATCCTTTGCTTTAACTAAATCGTCTGTTTCTACCTGATATTATAGTCGATACCTTTCTGGCTTGAAGACTGACTGACGGAACAAGATACTGCACTAGGAGGCTTCGGCAGTACAGAGTGGGATGCAATATGAATGTTTGTCTATTTTCTTTTTATTCAGCTTTACTTGACCGTTTCAATAAATAACTCTGAGTCTGGAATATTTATTAAATTTCAGTGAACCAGGAAAAAATTTTGGTTAATATTCTGAGTCGTAGTAAAAGACTTTATAAGGTTTATTAATATTGACGGAAGGTAAATAGTGTTTGTTGTCGTATCCCCCCCCCCCCAAAAAAGTAAAAATAAAAAATAAAAAAATAAAATAGTTGTTATTTATGTTATATGATGACTTAAATGTAGCTTTTATTTAGTGATATGGCGTAACTAAAGAAGGAACCAGCCACTATTGTTACTTTTTATGGACTTACAAAATAGTTTCTACTTTCTGTGAATATTTTTTCTTCCAGGACTTTTATGAAGACTGGTCCATGATCATGTGGTGTGGTGAGGATGTGGCAATGGTGTAGTGATGGTGTGGCAGTGGTGTGGTGATGGTGTGGCAATGGTGTGGTGATGGTGTGGCAGGGGTGTGGTGATGGTGTGGCAGTGGTGTGGTGATGGTGTGGCAGGGGTGTGGTGATGGTGCAACAGTGGTGTGGTGATGGTGTGACAGTGGTGTGATGATGGTGTGGCAGGGGTGTGGTGATGGTGCAACAGTGGTGTGGTGATGGTGTGACAGTGGTGTGATGATGGTGTGGCAGGGGTGTGGTGATGGTGCAACAGTGGTGTGGTGATGGAGTGACAGGGGTGTGGTGATGGTGTGACGCGGTGTGGTGGTGAGGGTGTGACAATGGTGTGGGGATGATGTGACAGTGGTGTGGTGATGGTGTGACAGCGGTGTAGTGAGGATGTGACAGCGGTGTGGTGATGGCGCGACAGTGGTGTAGTGTGGATATGACAGGGGTGTGGTAAGGGTGTGGCAGCGGTAAGGTGACTTCCTTTAAACCTCACCTGCGCTCACCTGTACTTACCTGTTTAAGTCTACCTGAACGTTTGAACTGATAAAACCAATAACGAAATGAAACAACATATAAACGCAGGGAACTTTCTTAATTCTGACGTAATTTAACCAAAGTTTTTCTCAACATAATTCTTTGGAACTTTCTCTTGAGGGTTTGTTTACCTGTGACTTCGATTTTAAAGGTAGGAAATTCTAGAAACGAAGCCGCGTCGATATTGTTTGCCTTTGTAGTTCATTTTTGGGAGTCAAACAAAGAGGGGGCTGGCATACACACACACACACACACGCACACACACACACACACACACACACACACACACACACATACACACAAAGGGACAGAGAGTGCTGCTGGCTGGAGAGAATGAAGTCATCGTATTGAGTAAAACAACTTTGGTAAAATATAGTTTTATTGAGGTACAGAAATATTCACAGGTAAGATATCACATGTTACACCTAGACCGACATTCAGGGAACACGGAACATCATATTTCACAGTGTCATTAATACACTCTCACCTAGCCCTCCCCCGTCCCCCTTACCTAGCCCACACCTGGTCATACATCTGGCCCACAAACACACACCTGGCCCATACCTGTAATAAACACCTGCAGGTATAGGTCACATTCTCAAAGGTTCCAACGTTAATTTTTTTTCCTTCATCTGGCTCACTTAAGTTACGACCCAACCAAAGTCTTCATAAAGGATCGTAAGTTTAAAATAAAAATATCCCTTAAATTATGGTGTGAAGACGTAAATTTAGTCGTTTATTAAGACGTACTTCAAATATAGCGTCCAATATGGCGTCCAATATGGCGTCATTATTACACTAAGCCTCGGTGTTATTTTGGCCTCAGCAAGGATGAAGTTAACCTTTGAGAATTAGGACCTCGATGTGGACTAAGATGGATGATGGGGAGGTGGATGATGTAGAGGTGGATGATGGGGAGGTGGATGATGTAGAGGTGGATGATGGGGAGGTGGATGATGTAGAGGTGGATGATGGGGAGGTGGATGATGGGGACATGGAGGATGGGGAGGTGGATGATGAGGTGATGATGTGAGGTTGTGAGGTGAATAATGTAGAGGATGATGGGGAGGTGGATGATGTAGAGGTGGATGATGGGGAGGTGGATGATGGGGAGGTGGATGATGGGGAGGTGGATGATGTAGAGGTGGATGATGGGGAGGTGGATGATGTAGAGGTGGTTGATGCGGAGGTTGTGAGGTGGATAATGTAGAGGTGGATGATGCAGAGATGGATGATGTAGAGGTGGATGATGTTGTTGTGGATAATGTGGAGGTGGATGATGTGGAGGTGGATGATGTAGAGGTGGTGATGTGGAGGTTGTGAGAGGGATGATCTGGAGGTGGATGATATGGAGGTTGTGAGGTGGATGACGAGAAGGTGGATGGTGGGGAGCTAGGAGAACGTGGTGGTAGGGAGGAGAAACAGTGGGGAGAAGTGTTGTGGTGAGGAATGGGGGGGGGGGGATAGAGAGACGAGGAAAGTCGGCAGTAAATGTCTAGATCAACGTTCTCTCATAACTGCTCAAACTGAGAGAACAAGAGATAAAATAGGAATAGAATGTTTATAAACGCCTGTCACACTTTGCGGTCATGAGAAGAATGTGATCAAACAGTTTACCAACGTTACATACATACATACATACATATCTATATATACACAATACATTATCTAAATCTCTTCACAAAAACAAATATCAGGGAATGAGCAACTGGACATGGAGTGACGTCATTATTCCTTCTCGATATACTCCACCAATCACACGCATTCCTATGACGTCATTCATTATCTTGTTAATAATAAACTGTACCTGATCCAGAGTTAACCAAAAACAGGTTCACAGTAAACTTCTGCAGCAACAAAGTGGTAAACCACAAAGCAACACCAACGCAACAAATTAGTATTTTTTGAGTCATTTAGGGATTAGTTGATAAAATAGTGTTTACTGTACTGTCAGCTGACCATTGTTGATGAGGTCACCACTGCGCTGTTTACTCTATCACCAAACAATATGAATTTGTCAACAAAACTGATGTGTAATGTTTTTAAATAGTTTGAGTCAGTTTCTAGGTCACTGTTGTACACAGCTCTGTTGACGGATGCTGACATGTGGTATTATGTAGGTCACAGACATATCCCATATGTCTGTGACACATCCCACATATAATGTAGGTCAGAGACACATCCTATATGTACAAAAGAATTACACAATTTGGCCGACATCCGCTTAGAGTTAAGCTGTATGTGTACCAAGGGGAGTGACCTCGTGTTACAAGTGGGGAATTTTGTGTTGGAAATTGAGTTGTTTTTGTGATCATATCCAGGAATAATGATCCAAATTACAGAATACAATAAAAACGTATTTGTTGTGGGTAACTTGTCGACATAAACAGTTTGTGTTGTTCACTGGGGGCTGAGATGAATGGCTTTTTGGTGTAAAATAATTTGCCTCATCTATTTTATCTTCGTTATTACTTAATGTACTTGTTGAATAAGAGGATTACAGACGAAGGTGTAGATAAAGTTACTGCTGCAGAAAACACAACTGTACAATGGATTAAAAAACTTCAATATTACTGATCATTGGCCAAGCGTGTATGTACAGCGATAGTGACCACCGCCCGCTGAGTGCTGACTAGGGCAGCTGGCTACAACATGTGTAAGTTTGGTCTAGGTAAAGCGGGTGTCTCGCCCGCCCACACACACCGTGGGCAGCGCCAGCGACCCATCTTCGTGCACCTGATGGTGCTACTCCTGTTCCGCCGTGATGATAATGATGGTACACCTGTGACAATGTTCTGTCGGTCTCACTCCGCCCTCGGGATGACACCAGCGGCGGCAGTGTCGGGGATACACCGAGGGCAGTAGCCAAGGCAACTGTCCCTTTCGGCAGTGTCCAGGAGATGGTGAGGGCCACGACCACCTGCAAGATGAATGCCAGGGCCGCCAGTGCCGTAAGAGAAGGGGGGTTGAGCCCCCGGCAGGATGATTCACCGTGTTGCATGGCCGCGGGGTATTCTCCTGGGGAGAAACACCTTACTATCATACTGAAACATTGTGGTGGTATCAGTAGGTGAGTCAACACCTGACTGAGGAGGCATGAGATAAAGATGGTTTGTGGACCTCGTTGATAATAACATCATTATAAACAACGAGGAACTTCAGAGAAATAATAACATTTAGTACAATTATTAAAGACGGACAATCATACGTGAGATGAACAAGCCTTACTTCCAACACTTGTCACGGTCATCAGTGTTAGTGTCTGTATACTGGGGGTGTGGGTATACTGTATACTGGGGGTATACTGTATACTGGTGGTGTGGGTATAGTGTATACTGGTGGTGTGGGTATAGTGTATACTGGTGGTATACTGTATACTGGGGGTGTGGGTATACTGTATACAGGCGGTATACTGTATACTGGGGGTGTGGGTATACTGTATACTGGGGGTGTGGGTATAGTGTATACTGGTGGTATACTGTATACTGGGGTGTGGGTATAGTGTATACTGGGGGTGTGGGTATACTGTATACTGGTGGTATACTGTATACTGGGGGTGTGGGTATAGTGTATACTGGGGGTGTGGGTATACTGTATACTAGTGGTATAGTGTATACTGGGGGTGTGGGTATACTGAATACTGTTTTTTTTTTCATGGAATTAGCCCACCAGGGCACAGGTCAATGACCCACATCAGGGCCTGGGGGGCGAAAATGTAATAATAATAATAATAATAATAATAATAATAATAATAATAATAATAATAATAATCATAATAATAATAATAATAATAATGGACCATAAATAAATCCAAAATCCAAAAATATGACTTATAGTGAGAAACGATATACGTATACTGTGTGTTGTGTTGTGTTGTGTTGTGTTGTGTTGTGTTGTGTTGTGTTGTGTTGTGTTGTGTTGTGTTGTGTTGTGTTGTGTTGTGTTGTGTTGTCAATGGTAAGAGAAACAATTGAGACCCTGCAGTTGGGTGTAAATGAGGCAGAAAGTCAGATCATCAACCTGGGACTTGGTCACATATGGCAGCAGGGTCTACCATTAGACAACACATTATGCTGCCAATATCTTCCCAGGCGGTAGTACCTCCCTATTTGGGCGTACTGGTAGTATACTTGTCTTATACTGGGTACACTTGTGGTATAATGGAGGTATGCTGTCAGTGCTGGTGGTATATTGGTGGTATACTGGGTGTACTGGTGGTGTACTGAGTATACTGGGTGTACTAGGTGTACCACCATTGAGAACATGGACCAGGATGGAGGCTGGCTTGGTGTTGAGGGGGGCGCAGGTGAAGCTGCTCGAGTGCAGCCTGCTGGCGCTTGTCACCATCAAGACGCTGGTATGTTCATCGCTCTCCACTACCACACTCTGTCAACCACACCACTATGGTTACTTCACTACCACACTCTGTCAACCACACACGACCTAAGTGGCTTCACTACCACACTCTGTCACACACACGACTATGGTTACTTCACTACCACACTCTGTCACACACCACTATGGTTACTTCACTACCACTGTCAACCACACCACTATGGTTACTTCACTACCACACTCTGTCAACCACACGACTATGGTTACTTCATTACCACACTCTGTCAACCACACACGACTACAGGCCACTTCACTACCTCCTGTCAACCACACACCACTATGGTTACTTCACTACCACACTCTGTCAAATTCACACCACTATGGTTACTTCACTACCACACTCTGTCAACCACACACGACTATGGTTACTTCAATTACCACACTCTGTCAACCACACACGACTATGGTTACTTCACTACCACACTCTGTCAACCACACGACTATGGTTACTTCACTCACTCTGTCAACCACACACGACTATGGTTACTTCGTCAACCACGACTGGCGGTTGGGCTTCACTACCACACTCTGTCAACCACACACGACTATGGGTTACTTCACCACCACACTCTGTCAAACTCACACTGACTCCAGGTTACTTCTACTCACCACCACTCCCTGTCAACCTACTACTCAATGACTATGGTTACTTCACGACCACACTCTGTCAACCACACACGACTATGGTTACTTCAATTACCACACTCTGTCAACCACACACACGACTATGGTTACTTCACTACCACACTCTGTCAACCACACACGACTATGGTTACTTCACTACCACACTGTCAACCACACACGACTATGGTTACTTCACTCACCACACTCTGTCAACCACACGACTATGGTTAAGCTTCACTACCAATAATCTCTGTCAACCACACACGACTATGGTTACCACCACACACACTGTCAACCACACACGACCATGGTTACTTCACTACCACACCCCTCAACCACACACGACTATGGTTACTTCACTACCTCACTCTGTCAACCACACACGACTATGGTTACTTCACTACCACACACTGTCAACCACACACCATGGTTACTTCACTACCACACTTGTCAACCACACACGACTATGGTTACTTCACTACACACACTCTGTCAACCACACCACTATGGTTACTTCACTACCACACTCTGTCAACCACACGACTATGGTTACTTCAATTACCACACTCGTCAACCACACACGACGGTTACTTCACTACCACACACTCAGCCACACACGACTTACTTCACTACCACACTTGTCAACCACACACGACTATGGTTACTTCACTACCACTCTGTCAACCACACACGACTATGGTTACTTCAATGACCACACCCCTGTCAACCACACACGACTATGGTTACTTCACTACCACACTCTGTCAACCACACAATGACTATGGTTACTTCACTACCACACACTGTCAACCACACGACTATGGTTACTTCACTACCACACTCTGTCAACTACACACGACTATGGTTACTTCAATTACCACACACTCTGTCAACCACACGACTATGGTTACTTCACTACCACACTCTGTCAACCACACGACTATGGTTACTCTTCACTACCACACTCTGTCAACCACACACGACTATGGTTACTTCAATTACCACACTCTGTCAACCACACGACTATGGTTACTTCACTACCACACTCTGTCAACCACACACCACTATGGTTACTTCACTACCACACACTGTCAACCACACACGACTATGGTTATTTCCACTACCACACTCTGTCAACCACACACGACTATGGTTACTTCACTGGCTCACACCCCTGTCAACCACACACGACTATGGTTACTTCACTACCACTCTGTCAACCACACACCACTATGGTTACTCCACTACCACACTCTGCCAACCACACGACTATGGTTACTTCACTACCACACACACTGTCAACCACACACCACTATGGTTACTCCACTACCACACTCTGTCAACCACACACCACCATAGTTACTTCACTCACACACACTGTCAACCACACCTAGGACTATGGCTACTTCACTCACACACACACTGTCAACCACGACTATGGTTACCTCACAACCACCACTTTGTCAACCACATACGACCATAGTTACCACTACCACACTTGTCAACCACACGACTATGGTTACTTCACTACCACACTCTGTCAACCACACACGACTATGGTTACTTCACTACCACACTCTGTCAACCACACACGACTATGGTTACTTCACTACCACACTCTGTCAACCACACACGACTATGGTTACTTCACTACCACACTCTGTCAACCACACGACTATGGTTACTTCACTACCACACTCTGTCAACCACACACGACTATGGTTACTTCACTACCACACTCTGTCAACCACACACGACTATGGTTACTTCACAACCACACTGTCAACCACACACCACTATAATTACTACATCTATGAGAGTATTAACCAAAATATTTACCCCAGTCCCCTCCTCTGACTCGTAGTTGATCATCTCGTTGCCGCGGTACCAGAATACGTACGACAACGCTTCCGTAGTGTGGTGCATTATACATACCAGACGTAGGATGGAGCCCAGTTTGACGTGTTTTTCCGGGGCTCCCAAGATCTCTGCCTCCGCCTCTGTCAGGGATTAAAACATAAACAACACATTGGTGCACACGTTAACATAAGCAAACACTGTGGTCTATAAACAGCGTAATAATGTACGCGTAAATAAGAAGCACAACATTAAACTGGAAAAAAAAAACAATTATTGGCACATTCTTTGCGGTGTTGGGAATGTGGTGGTGTTATTAGTTACAGTAAGACAAAGGATATTGACACTAGCAGCTGGTATAACGGGGTGCTACTGAATAAAAGTGGAGGTGGGAAATGTTTTTGTCCACAAGAGACAAGAGGTAGGAAAAGTTTGTGTTTTCGAAGTGTTGAACATTTGGATTCGTGTGAGCGATGCAGTCCAGAGCTTGATGCAGTGTTGTTGTACCATTTAGGTTACTAGTTTTATAGAAACACGTAGTTAAGCATTGGGCAGACAATGGCAAGGTAAACTTTCATTCAGTTTAGTGTCGGTAGGGAGAAAAGAGTGTAGCCAAGAACTGAATCTTTAAGGACATTACTGTAGTAGGTACTATGATGTACACAAAACACAGGCCTAATACATCTCACAAAACACACTAACCACTGTACCAGGTGGAACTGTGGCCGACTGTACAATGTTCAGTAGCTAAAGCAACTATCTGTGCAGGAGGGGGTCGATATGCTCCGAAATTTTACGTGTGACTAGTGACAGCCCTCATATACCAAAATTTATCGTCCATGGTCTCATATTGTTTCCCACAAAGTATGCACAGTTAGTTGTTTTAGTTACTGTACATGTGGCAATGATTCCTGAAAACAAAATAACTGAGAGAACAGGGGTAGATACTCACCCACCACCTGAAGGTGAACGAAGAGAGACGTGGGAGGGTGTGAGGATACCTGACACTCATACACCCCGGCGTCCCTCGGCTGCACGTAGCGGATGTGAAGCTGCCAGTCCTGTGGGGGAGAGGAGGGTGACGCTCTATCATGTACACACACTGAGGAGGAGTGAGATTAATGGTGATGAAGAATCCACCATATTAGACTGAAATCTCTCACATAGCACAGAACTTTCTCAATACACATCGTGATATATTCACAATTATAACAACCGTTGTTCATAACTTCCTACCTACAGTCATCAAACATTATCATGTATAAAACAATATCATGAAAGCATCATGTGAGATTATCGTACAACAATAAGACAGCTGGGTTGCCCTGGTAGGTATGACAAGCTGCCTCGTGCACCTCCTCCTCCTCCAGGCACGAGGTGCTTTACCCTTCACCCAGATAGGGCGTTCATGCTCTCAGGGAACACAGGCCATTACTAATTTGCATTCCATGTAAGTTACGAACCATCCCTGTTGTACAAGGAGCCCACACGGCGTTTGGAGGACAATAATAACATTAATGATATAGTAATAATAACAATGGCAATAATAATAATTATATTAATAATTAAAGCATGACTCGGCTAAGTTCATACTATAAGTCAAGAAATGTTTCTGAAAAATCCACTATAGAATTTCTTTTCCTTATTAAATAATATTAAAGAGAGATACACTTTCTACTCATTACTGTGGTTGTGTAATGAAAACACCACATACATATAACGTCTAGAGAGAGAAAGAGGGAGGGAGAGGGAGAGAAGGATCTAGAGAGAGAGAGAGAGGGAGGGAAGGATCCAGAGAGAGAGAGAAAGGGAGAGAGAGCTAACTTAGGCTTGGAGGGAGGTCTTCTTTAAGTATTATCCCAGATCTTTGTTGATCCCTGAGGGAACATAACCCCTGCACGTTCACCAGGCGTGTGGCAGCGATTGTTGCCTCTTTCACTCTCTGATGTGGTGCTGCTGGTGCTGCTACTTACACCCACTGTGGATGAGACCTTGACCTGTGACCTTGACCATGACCTATGACCTTAACCTGTGACTGTGACCCTTGACATGTGACTTTGACCTCTGATCCAGACTTATACAAAGAATTTTAGCGAGCGACAGACCACCAATTTCAAGAAACTATTTAGACTTAATATTATCATAACATGTAATGAACTTGTATTAATGAAACGGAGGTGAAATGCGTGTGGCTGAAGCGTCTACGAGATAAGAAAGATTTAGAACAGGAGGAAATGGCCAATATATTCCTTTACATGTTTATTGTTGGCATAATGAACAGAGTTAGTGGAGTCGACCAACACACATACACGAAAGTTTACTGAACCTCCGTTACACTTTACAAAAAAACAAAAACATTGTGTATTTGTTTCATGTCCAGAAATATTAAAAACAAAAAGTTTCGGAAAAAAGAGAGAAAATTGTCCCAAGTTGATTAATAGTCTATCATTAATAACATCATATCAATATTTCAGGGGCCGACATTTATACATGACATTTATAAATCTATTATCATTTACAGTTTTGTTTTAGAAATTATGTTGTGTCAGTTTTTAAATTAGTTAATAATACAACTTAAGTTTATCCTGTAATATTTTTATGTGTGAGTAAAGTTTTCTGTTTCATGTCGCTTGATTCACAGGGCTCAGACATCTCACTCAAGGGGTTAAGTTATCGTACTCAAGAGGTTAAGTTATTGTGCCTAAGGGTTAAGCTATCGTACTCAAGGGGTTAAGTTATCGTACTCAAGAGGTTAAGTTATTGTGCGCAAGAGGTCAAGGTATTGTACTCAAGAGGTTAAGTTATTGTGCCTAAGGGTTAAGCTATCGTACTCAAGGGGTCAAGGTATCGTACTCAAGGGTTACGTTATTGTGCTTAAGGGTTAAGTTATCGTACTTAATGGTTGAGTTATCGTACTCAAGGGTTAAGTTACCGTGCTCAATGGGTGGCGCTGTCGTACTCAAATGGTTAACTTATCGTGCTCAAAATATCAATGACCGAATTCATTGTATTCAAAGAGTTAACATCGTATACAGTTGAGGTTAGGTTGGTTTAGCTTATGGTAATCAGGACACAGCTTAAACTGTGTCAAAACAACAACCTTAAGCTAAATTTAAGCTGTTAGTGACCTTGTTTGTGTGTGAGAGTTACTTAATGACCTTGTTTGTATGTGTAATGCAGTAAAGATTATTAGGAAATTATATAAAAAGACGTCATCCTCTCTCTCTCTCTCTCTCTCTCTCTCTCTCTCTCTCTCTCTCTCTCAGCTCGGGTTAAGGCCAGGCTGCTGACAGACTCTTGTTCACAGGCGAGTGTGTGTGTGTGTGTAGAGCAAACAAGAATTTTGTTTACCTAATATGTGAGAAAAAGTTATTATGTAGAGTTGTGATGGAGCAGGTGGGAGGGGTTGTGTTGGGTGGGTGGGGGTTGTGATGGAGTAGATGGTGGAGGGTTGTGATGCAGATGGGGGGAGGTTGTGTTGGAGTAGGTGGTGGAGGTTGTGATGGGTAGATGGTGGAGGGTTGTGATGGAGCAGATGGGGAGGAGAGTTGTGTTGGAGTAGGTGGGGAGGGTTGTGATGGAGTAGATTGGGGAGAGTTGTGTTGGAGTAGGTGGTAAGGGTTGTGATGGAGTAGATGGGGGGAGGGAGTTGTGATGGAGTAGATGGTGCCGATATAGTGACTAGGATACGGTGAAGGTGACGATACAGAAACTAAGGTACAGTGATGACGACGGTACAGTGAAGGTGACGGTACAGGAACTACGGTACAGTGAGGGTGACGGTACAGAAACTACGGTACAGTGAAGGTGACGGTACAGGAACTACGGTACAATGACGGTAACGGTACAGTGATGTTGATGGTACAGGAACTACGGTACAGTGACGGTAACGGTACAGTGATGGTGACGGTACATAAACTACGGTACAGTGATGGTGAAGGTACAGAAACCACGGTACAGTGAGAGAGTGAGGGTACAGTGGGTATGGTACAGTGATGGTGACGGTACAGTGAAGATGGCGGTATAGAAACTACGGTACAGTGATGGTACAGGCGGTAGGGTACAGTGTGTGTGTTCGCCAGTGGAGGAAGTCTTATGAAGGGAAGGAAGTGCTCGCTGGCTCTCTCTCTCAGGAAGAACCTCACCAAACACTCTTATTTAACCTTTCCGTTGTATTATTGTTTTATTTATTTGTTTCTATCCTTTTCATTCCTTTATTTATTCTATTATTTTCTCTCGTATTCATTCTTTATTCTCTCTCTCTCTCGCTTTTGTCTGTTATTTTCTTGTTCGTCTTCTACGTTATTGTGGTTATTGGTTTGTATATGTTTCTTTATGTAATTAGCTACAGGTAACGTGTATATAAAGGTAAAGTACCTAACCAAACCATAGTAAAGCTTCGTATGATTTTGTAATGAGGGAAAGTTGTGTCCAGGTGAGGCTGACTAAGGTACACTGTGACAGGTAAAGGAAAGGTTGAACTAGATTGGGGTAAAAGCTTGAAGGAAAGAACCGGGTAAAACTTCGGTGTAAATATATATAAACACAACCCAAGAGGCCGTGTAAACCTCTTAGAGATCTGTTTACTCTGTTTATTTTGGTCTTAGTATGTTTTAAACGTCATGTTGGTATCGTACACTGATTATAGTTTGATATCAAGTTGACTATCGTAATGCGCATGATATCTCTCTGTTCGTGTGTTTTTTTATATATTACTGTGTGGAGATTTATTGTGTAGTTCTAGTAATATTTTAAGAACATACTTGGCTTTCCTTTGTCCTCCTCTTAATACTCCACACAAAAGATCTTTATTCAACAACACAGCTCAAGAATTAAGGTTCCATTCAGGTCTTGATTCAATTGAGCTTCACTTTACTTGTAGCGTCTAGTCAGTCTCATATATTTACTTTCATATGGATTTTTATCATTTTTTTATTGTTTTAAGTTTTTATTTATTTATTTGTTCCAGTAGTGATAAGTTTCATTGGGTATTATTATTATTATTATTATTATTATTATTATTATTATTATTATTATTATTATTATTATTATTATTATTATTATTATTATTACAATATTTCTCTGGTCTGGCAAGAGAGGAATTGACTTTTATACAACAAGACACACCTAAGGTAATACACACTCCCTCCACGAAAAACACATATCTCCACTTTGCATTTTAAAAAGATTACAAATTTCCAAATAAAAGTTACAACACGGAAGTAAGAGAGATAATTATATTTAGATGTAGTGGCTGAATAATATATAAATAACAAGCTGGGATACACGAGAAAAGTTTAGGAGAGAGTTTGAACTCTGTGGAAATACATAGTCAATGGAAATGACAATAGAATGGAAAACGAGTCGACGAAACAATAGCTTACAAGAGGATAAAGAAGTGGAACTGAACAATGGAAGTTAATGAGGCTATTGGTTCAAAGATTAATACCTGTAGTGAGATGGATGAACTGTTCAATATCACGTCACTATTGTTCAGGGTAAAGCGAGGTGAAGCGTCCGACTCCCCACGACAACAACAAGTGACTACCTATTGTACCTTGCCGTGCAGAAGTAGTGGGAAATAGCACTATAACCAGTGTTCAGAATACAACAAGTAGCACTAGAACCTGTGTTCAGAATACAACAAGTAGCACTATAACCTGTGTTCAGAATACAACAAGCACCAAGAAACTTTCCTTCCAACTGCAACATAAACACGACACTGAACTATCTTACAGTGGCAGCAGGAAGAAAACTTAGCTGCCTTTAACTTAAAACAGGAAGAACACCGCTCTCCTTCCACAACCAGAACGAGGAACTTCTTTACTGCCAGACGAGTTGGTAACTGAAAGATTCTGCCTGACTTACACCGAGTAGTAAAAATCAGTTGAAAAAGCCAACTCGACCTGGCAATTGCGGCAAGAGATGCAGGTACTAGAACGAGTTAAACACTTGTACACGTGTTTACTTACCCAGTGGACGTAGTTGATGGAAAACCTGTCGTCGCTGGAATGTGTATGTAGCCCCACCGTTAGTAGCTGGTAGTCCCTCTTCCTCACCCACGACACCTGTGGCATACACGCGTCTAATTACCTCATATTGGCTGCAGTATAACTTCATGTGTGTGTGTGTGTGTGTGTGTGTGTGTGTGTGTGTGTGTGTGTGTGTGTAGCTGTGTATGTGTGTATATATGTGTACATTGGCAAAAATACACCTAGTATAATCATCCCAAAGGTAATTTAACCCAGATCTAGTAAACAGGAATGTTGATGTAACGAGCGGACGATTAAGTTATCTAAAATTGTAAAAATATTATCCAGTAAATTATATTCATCCCTGTTAAAACACTCATAACAACAGGTCTCTCTAGTAGTACTCAGCAGTGTCCCAATAGTACTCCTCAGTGTCCCAGTACGACTCAAGAGCCCCCCCAGTACGACTCCAGAGCCTCCCAGTAGTACTTAAATACCTCAGTAGCACTCAACATTTTCCCAGTAGTACTCATCAATACCCCAGTAGTACTCAAGAATCCCCTAGTAGTACTCACCAATCCCCCGGTAGCACTGGAGGTCTTGCAGTGAAGAATGACGGCCGCTCCCACTTGACCCGTCACTACGCTGTTGTTTTGAGTGACGAAACGATCCTCGGGGGGCACCTTCACGCCTAGCTGTCCCAACTCCAGCTGATTGTTCGTATTACTCCACTGGGCTGTAGACAAGAACACTGTTGTTAGGTACTTGGCTATATTATAATACCTGAAATTTTACCTTAGTTTCCCCTCCCCTCCGCCTCTTCCCTTTCCCAGATAAATTCACCTGATGATAAACACCTCAATGCTACCTGTTGTGGGTTAGGTTAGGTTAGGTTAGGTTAGGTTAGGTTAGGTTAGGTTAGGTTACTCTGTGTCTAGGTGCGGTTTGACCCTCTTGTTTACATCACCCTGGATCTCCTGGAGTGTAAATGTAAATTCATTAGTGTTTTTTTCACTATAGAGTTGAGTTGTGGATGTATTTTTTTCACACGTATTATCTCTCGTGCTGAGTTGAGGACAGGAGACAGGAAAACCTCGGGTGGTAAGGTATATTTAGTGCTGATTACCAAGCAACGTATACAGACGTATTATTTCTTGGGTACAAAGCAATTATTAGCCCTTTTTTTCTCTCTCTCTCTTTCTCTCTCTCTCTCTCTCTCTCTCCTCAGCAAGAGTTGAGTCCAGTGTTCATCCGCCGAGGCTGATGATGCAGCGAAAGAAAACATTAGTTGCTTCGTGCTGGTAGTGAAGACCCTCTCGACCTGCTAACCTAACATACTGGCGTGTTTCTCTCTCTCTCCCTTGGTTATATTACGAGGTATAAGCTCTGTCTGTCTGTCTGTCTGTCTGTCTGTCTGTCTGTCTGTCTGTCTGTCTGTCTCTCTGTCTGTCTCTCTCTCTCTCTCTCTCTGTCAACTCACACACCACAGCGGCTGACGTCCTCAGTACTGTTAACTCCTCATTGTCATCACAATATATGAAACAATTTTATTATCCGTGTCCATGGTCGTGAAATATGACCTTACGTCCACTTAACACCAAGACGATATGGTCAAGACGCCTGTCAGTGATTCACCACCTCCCTGAACACTTTTTATAGGTGTAAACGGGAAGATAGGTAGATATTGTTGACTACCTATTTGATTATAAACAGTAGACACAGGTAGCTGACACACTATGCAAATTTATAAACATTTCAGTACAGATATGTATTCATAGATGGATACTCAGATATTTACTATTACAGAAGCTTATACATATACATTCGATATATGTATTAATATCCATATACATACGGATATACATATTAATATAGTTGTACTGTATTGTTTGTTAATCCGAGTGAATAATATGTAGTTTATGTGCAGGACCTCGGTAGACAGAACATATATGTGTGTGTGTGTGAGTGATTCTAGTAAAGAGGTTGATGTGTGTGTGTGTGTGTGTGTGTGTGTGTGTGTGTGTGTGAGTGATTCTAGTAAAGAGGTTGATGAGAGAGAGAGAGAGAGAAATTGCTTCCCTCGTATAAATCAGCGAGGAAGTGTGTGTGTGAACCTGACTACTTTATTTTAAGGTAGTGAGAAAAAGTTAAGTTAGGTTAGGTTAGGTTAGGTTAGGTTAGGTTAGGTTAGGTAGAGAAACTTTAAGGTAGTGAGGTAAGGTAAAGAAGTAAGGTATGGCGACCGAGACGATACGACCCTTGGGATGAAAAAAATAATACAATTAAATTTATAAGAGCGTGTGAGGGTCGTCCTTTCCCTTACGTTACCCAGTATACAAAGGAATCAATTCATTACCACCAACAAAAATCAATTCTCTGACAGATAATGTAAGTGAAAATGATTTATTGACAAAAAACTGGATTAAAATTTTTTTTAGTGTGTGTTTCCCTGAGTGCCAATACCCAATCAGAATGTCCAAGAAAATGCCATTCAGTATCATTCTGTGTAGTCGGCATTTCTCATTTGTTTACACTTTCTTAAGGCTCTTATTGGTTCTCGAATTGAAATCATAGCAATTACTTGGATTATTTAAAAAAAAAAACAGCCATTCGTGAATATATAATTATACCAAACGTTTGTTTTATTTTATGTTTATTCTACCACGTAATGAGTTAACGATAATGATTTTGAAACAGGTAGAGGAGAGGAAGCTGAGGCTCCGTGTGTGTGTGAAGGCTCTGAGTTGTGGGTGATTGTGGCTCTTAGGTAAGCCTCAGAACTCACCTGTGCCTCGTGCTGGGTGAAGGAGGGGTGGGGGGACGGTGGTGAGGAGGGAGGATGGTAGGGAGGGAGGTGAGGAGGGGGGGAGGGGTGGTAGGGAGGGAGATAGAATGATGTTTAGTGATGAAGAGGAAAGTATGATAAGATTTTATGATAAATTACTAACCTGTATTCATATAATTACATGCAACCAAAACAAACATACGAGGCAGAAACAAACACACACACATCAGATATTCTCCACTTACAACCCCCCCTCCCCCATCCCCCCTCTCCCAATCCCTCCAACATTCAGCCACTTATTGAAATGTAGTTCCCTCCCTCCCTCCTTCCCTCCCTCCCTCAGACGCCCGCTGGTACTCCTTAAGAACCCAGGTAAGTCATAAACATAGGTAAGTGTGGCCCCTGGTGGTACCTGTTTAAGACACACACCTCGTGATTACCTCAACCATGGCCACCTGGTCAATACTGAACCAGGTAATGCCCGGGCAACACCTGATGGCTGGTGTATTGATCCTCAGGTAACTATAGTGGCTGGTGATCCTCAGGTAACAATAGTAGCTGGTGATCCTCAGGTAACAATAGTAGCTGGGTATTGATCCTCAGGTAACAATAATGGCTGGTGATCCTCAGGTAACAATAGTAGCTGGGCATTGATCCTCAGGTAACAATAGTGGTTGGATATTGTACCAGGGGGGTGGGGGGCTCATGGCTGGGTATTGTGTTCTTTGTCTCACTGTAATGGGGTGCGGGTGATGAGAGAGAGAGAGAGAGAGAGAGAGAGAGAGAGGATGTAAAGAAACATTATTACATTACCTGGTGACGTAAACATAAACATTATAATGCAGAATATTTAAAAGACAATTTGGTGGGTTTTATTGTTTGTTACATTACGGGTTATATTAAGATAATTAACATTGTAAGGTGATTAAGACACACACACACACACACACACACACACACAGTAATTACATCCTAGGTTGGGGTGAGGGGCGGTGCTCATCGTCACCTGTTTTGGCTAATTATCGTAAAATTTTGTGACCATGAATATCTTCTCGAAATTCTGGGAACATATTAGTGGGGACGGAGGTACTGGTGGTGGTGATGGTGGTGGTAGTGGTGGTGGTGGTGGTGTGGGAATTAATGAACAGAATATAACGCTTTTTAGTGTGACAGACAGACAGACAAAATTATTTAATGAAGATAGTTTATTAATGATACAAGTCATAAATATGTATGTATGTATGTATGTATGTATGTATGTATGTATGTATGTATGTATGTATGTATGTATGTATGTATGTAATAATAATACTAATAATAAACGGTTTATTAATAGAGTTGCAGCCGGTGGCTGAAAATATACAGACTTACATTAGATTTAGACATAATGATATAATATGCATTGAATATATTTACAGGGCTGTACAGTACATAAATCAGGAGTTGTTTATTATTTTAACAATAGATGGGATGGTGCTGTTCTTATATCTATCGGTGCGGGCTCTTATGGGCTGAATTTTGTTGTAGTGGCGGACTGCGCGAGTTGGGTGGGGAGCTGCAGGAGGTGGCGATGGCGAGGGTGGTGCAGTAGTCCACGGCCAAACCTTTCCAGTGCTTGGTGGTGGAGGTCACTGAGGGATGGCATTTCCAGGGTGGAGAGAGCGTTGGTGTAGCCGGAGTATTCTTCGCCGAGCATGACTCTGCAGGCCCTCTTCTGTACCTTCTCTAGCTGACGTTGTTGGGTGGAGTTGAGAGAAGACGACCAGGCTGGTGACGCATACGTTAGTTTGGGGAGAATGTATGTATGTATGTAATTAATAATAATAATAATAATAATTAACGGTTTATTGAGAATTTTTGCAGCCCGAAGGCTAAAAATATACAGTGGACATAAATGACTTATTAAATACATTGGTGGTTTAACAAAAGCCTTCATTAGAGAAAGGTGAAGGAACATACAGTGAACATACAGATTAATGTTTACAGTGGAGGTCACGTAGATCATGTGAGCTGAGGTGTTGAACAGCAGACACGTAGTGTAGTAACTCCCTCACAGATGGTGTTATGAGGGGCATCACGTGGTGCAGTAATTCCCTCACAGATGGTGTTATGAGGGGTATCACGTGGTGTAGTAATTCCCTTACAGATGTGTTATGAGGGGCCTGACGTGATGCTGTAACAACTCATTCACTATGTGGTGGTGTAGCATCCTGGGGACACCACGTGGTCTGAGGTGTGGTCCCAGGCCCCTCTATCGTGGAGTCTCAGGGGAATTACCACTGGGTACCTGGGACCTCACTGTGTGAAGGTTAGCTTGGGGACGATCCAGCTGTTACTGTTGAGTTGTTTTTCACTGACTTAAGCACTGGTTACCACTATTAAACACTGGTTCCATTCCTTTCCTAAATGATATAGTAATTTCTGTCGAGAACTTGTTGATATTCCGGTGGGGAGGAGGGGTTCAGGGGAGGGAGTTGGTATGGGCCAACATAACAGTTGACCTGGCTGCTGCCAGAGCAGAGCCAGGTACGTCTTGACCCTTCGGTGGTCAAGAACGTATTTATGTATGTCGTCTGTTACTCCAGCTGGGGTGGTGGTAGCAAGAGTTAGTTTCATCTGTCCGAGAGAGAGAGAGAGAGAGAGAGAGAGAGAGAGATATCGTCTTTTCTTAGCAAATTTTAGGAAATATATTCACTCCTCAACAACAGAAACAAATGAGCAGCTTCATAATGTCTCAGCTGAAGGAACACCTCGGTAACCAGTGAACGGAGAGATACACTGAAGACTCTCCTTTACAGTCAACACAAGCAATCAACAATGTCTGGTGTTTCACTGCATCTCACACTGTTAATGGAAGCTATTATAAACTAACGTTCATCCACTTCCTGCCCGCAGAGGCGCTCTTTTATGGCCAGATCAACAACGCTCGCTTTGGTTATTAACACACTTGG